AGTGAAAATCATTGAATGAATGGTAGAAATAAAAAGTGATTTTCGTATTGAAGTCAATGTGAATATCATTTGTGTTGAGTTTTTTTGAACATTGAATGGATGTATGAATGCATACAATGAGCGCATGAGTTGAGACATGAGTGACAATGAAGTGGTGAATGAAGACAACGACAACACACCGCCGATTGTCCACAAAATACACTCATTTCTCAAACACATCGACCAATTGGGCGCCGAAGAGGTGTCCACACATCAGGTGAGACAATGGATGCGTGAATTGGTGACCATCGCTGCGCCCAAAGTCACTATCAATGGTCACAATCGCCGCCACAAACACACCACCGAAGACGAGCCGCCGACCGACCCGTCCGACACTTCCGGCACTTCCGCTCATTCCGTGTCAAACAATCGCAATGATAACCACTCGGACTCCAGTTTGACTCAACTGAACTCGAGTTCAGAAATTAATGACTTATTGAACTCTTCAGTCATCAACGATAGTACTGAAGACCCGGAACCGGTCGCCGAAGTAGACGCCGAGTCGTGCGCTGAAAGCATCGAATCATTCACTGAAGACTCCGATCCTATTGTTGAAGACACTGAACCTATTGGTGAAGACATCGAACCTATTGGTGAAGACACCGAACATATTGCTGAAGACACTGAACCTATTGCTGAAGACACCGAATCTACTGCTGAAGATACCCAACCAATTAGCGAAGATATTACTGCTAAAAGTGACAGTAAAACAGACTTAAGCGGTGAAAGCACTCAAATACTTATGAAGACACTGAACCTATTGCTGAAGACACCGAATCTACTGCTGAAGATACCCAACCAATTAGCGAAGATATTACTGCTAAAAGTGACAGTAAAACAGACTTAAGCGGTGAAAGCACTCAAATACTTGATTCGCAAATTAGTGGTGAAGTGTCAGTGGGTTTAGTGAACAGAACCGAAGACAGAGATACTTCGTCTGATTTGAGTTCTGACGACAAGTCAATGAGAAGTGGGAGAAGTCTTCGGTCCAGAGGTAGAGCTCAGGGAAGTGATAATCAACAGTCAGAGTCTTCTGACGTTGAGTTCAACGACTCCTCTGATTCTCCGCCCGATTTGGACTCAGACTCTGATTTTGACTTTAAAAGTACTCTTAAGGCTGAAAGGACTCAAAACAATCGTTCAAACAATCAGTCCAAATATGACAAACTCTTGAGTGATATCCGAATCACTTCTTTAGAACCGTCTATAGATTTAATACCATTAAGTATTGATATAATAGATGTGGCCACCGATGAGGCGACCAAAGCGTCAGATCTGATCTCAACGCAAGAGAATCTGTTAAAAGACACTTTGCGTTCAAAGGGTGTGTTTTGCCGTATAATGAAAACAATTAAACCCAAAGACACGAAGAATGGAAAAGACAGCAAAGAAGAGGAGGAAAGCGAAGAGAAGTCAATGAAAGAAATCAATCGTTTGTGTCGAATACCCAAAATCAGAAACAATAATCGAAGAACTGCTGAATCGTCCAAAAGCAGTGATTCCGACGAAAGCGGAAGCAATGATTGCCGCACTAAAGACAAAAAGAGGGCCACTAATAGTAATGACAAGAAAGTTAAGACATCCACACCTCTCAAGAATAAGCCCAACGCTGGAGACAGCGATGGCTCAGAGCTTGACTCCGATTGCGATGTCTCTAATGTAGTGAAAAATGATAACACATTTCGCACTTCCATTCGTGTAACTAAAAAGTATGATGTCTTGGACTCTGATGTCAGTTCTGATGAGGAGATGAAAGCCTCAGCCAAACCAAGTTCTAAAAAGAGGACCAAAAAGAGCGTAAAATCTGGTTCTGATGAAGAAGTAAACGGAGATATATGTGATAAAAGTGATGACAGCGAAGACAATGTCATTAAACTAGAAAAAGAGGCGGAAATCGATATACTTAAGAGGAATAGAAACAAAGTGTTGCGAAACGCGTCTAAAGTGTTGAAAGAAAGCGATGCGAAGGAGAAGACAGTGATTGAAATCGATAGCAATAGCGACGAAGAGATAGCTGTAAAGAAAAGGGTGACTAAACGAAGACTTTCTGACGATGAAGAGTACGGCACAAACGATAA